GCTCAGAAAACACAAGCTGACCCTAACTCTAGGATTTATCAAAAATTAAAGTCTAGTTTTAAAACTGGACAATGTGACAGCCTCATGAACAGAAAATACAAGTTCCACAAGAGAGGAGCTTGATAACTGAAAGATCTGCCTCCCATTCTGTTTTTGGAAACTCTAGGAACCACAAGTAAACCTGCAGCCTGAGAGTGAAGTGCTCTGTTAGGAAAATATGGAACAATAAGACCTGTAATATAATATGGAGCTAGGTTGTTGAGAGCTTTGTAGGTTACAAGTAGGATTTTGAATTCTATTCTGGATTTGACAGGGAGCCAATGGAGAGAAACTAAAACTGGAGAGATATGATCTCTCCCAGTAACTCCAGTTAAGACTCTGGCAGCAGCATTTTGGATCAACTGAAGACATTTTAAAGAAGTATTTGGACACCCAGATAATAAACCATTGTGATAGTCCAGTCTCGACGTGACAAATGCATGGACCAGTTTTTCTGCATCTTTTTTAGATAAGATGTTTCTAATTTTAGTGATGTCATGCATTTTGAGATCATAAAATGTAAAGGGCAGTACAAATTGAATAAATTATTATTATTATTATTATGATTGTTTATTTATTTATTTATTTACTTATCATATTAATCTCAGAGAAAAGCAATTCTGGTAACATTTTTAATGTGGGGGTTAAAAGGCATGTTCTGATCAAAAATAACACCAAGATTTTTAACATTAGAACTGGAGTCCAGATTAATGCCATCCAGAGGAAGTGAAAGACTGAAAATTGATTCCTAACATGCTCAGGTCCAAAAACCACAACCTCTGTCTTGTCTGAGGGTTTTTTTTGTTGTTTTTTTCCATTCAACATTTATACAGGTTAGTCTCATTGAGCCACGAGGACTCATTTACAAGAGGGACCTGTTTTAAACAGAAAAATTAAATTAAAAAGCAGAAAATTTAGTGTCGTCCAGGTTTTGTGTCTTTAAGACATGTTTGTAGTCTAAGTAACTGATTGGATTCATTGGATTTAATGGACAAATATAACTGTGTATCATCAGCATAACAATGAAAATTTATCCCATGTTGTTTAATAACTTTACCTAATGGAAGCATATATAAAAATAAATATCAATGTCTAAATTAAAAAAAAAAAAATCTTACCAAAGAACAAACTTGCAAATTGATAAATTCATATTTATATTATAATAATAAATAAAGTTGTCATCATTTTATGTTCCCATACAAAGATGAAATTGGTTCTCTTCATTTAGCCCATTGCACCTGGGATACATCCAGGTGGAGCAGTGAGCAGCTATG